TTTTACCTAACATAATGTTCTCATTTCAAACCCCAACAGTGGGGGTTTAGTTACAATTTTCTCAAATTCCTTAAATCACACAACTAGAAGGGTCTCAATGTTTTGTTTGAAAATTCCTTTTCTTTTTGATTATAGAAGTGATATAAACTCATTCTAGAAAATTTGGAAAAACCAGAATATTTAAAAGAAAATTTTAAAGCACCCATAAGCCACCCGCTCAGAGTTACCCTGTTAACATCTGTGTGCTTGTCCTTCCAACTTTTGATTTTTGCACATGCGTTTGAGATCTCTCCTGCTTTCCTACTGGTTTTCTGAAAGGCGTTAAAAATTCTTAAAGTACTTTTCGAACGTTTCCCCTGGTCAGTGGAAGCATCACCCAGAGAATTCATATATAATTTGCAATGTAACAAGTTCCCATCAGAAGAACATTTATACTGGCCAGAGCACCCCAGCAACCTTCCCTGGATGGGCGCTGCACCTAAAATTCGACAACAGGATCCCAGTGACTCAAGGATCAGGCCCCTCCCAGCTTGTGCCTCTGTCACTTGCTATTATTTCTTTTACGTTAAATTTCAACACTAGGCTGTTTTACACCTTAGCTTGTTTCATGTCAGTTGATCACCTTTCAAAAAGAGAGAGGAAAAAAAGAAAGAGGGATAAGAAACAGCAGGCTTTATCACATTTACTTTAAGACCCACATTTACTTTAAGCCAAAATCCCGTAAAGCAACTCATGAAGGAAATCATTGGGACGCTCGGCGTTGCTCCTACCGTCCCCTTGCCCCTTGTCCAGCACTCCAAAGGCAGCAGGGGTTCCTCCGCATTCCCTCTGGTCAAGCCACCCGCACGACCAAGCACAAGGAGCAGCACGTGTGGAGGGTGGGTCTGACCATGTGACCGCTGCGCATGCGTGGCCGGGGGGGGCGGGGCGGGCGAGGCGGGGCGGGGCGGCGGCCAGTTTCTGAGTCGCCGAGGGGGCGGGAAGTGGGCAGTGTCAAAAGCTGCGCAGGATCCCAGGGAGACATGTCCGCTTTCCCAAGTGCAGCTGCTGAGCAGCTCAGAATGCTCTTGCAAATGCAATTCAGATCCCCTCTCAAATCCACACCGGGGATTCCAGGCACGAAAGGAACGTTAAGAACCATCATTAAAGTCCCCTTCTGTATTTCCCTTACACGCATTTGCATTCCCGCTGAGGGGTGCTGAGCCTCGCTCACTGCTCAGACCTGGGAGGCCCCCCTCGCCCTCATGCAAGGCTCCCCGCGATTGCTCCACACGCAGCCTGGAGGCTCGGGCCTCCTGCGCACTCCACACCCGCGTCCTCATTGGGCCGCACCCTTCCTGCCCCTTGGGACTCCTCCTCCAGTGTCTTCTGCTCCCCACGTCCTTTCACGTGTCACTGGCTTTGTGGTTTCTCCCAATCTTGTGCCTGTCCCTACCCTGGGCCCCTGTTAAGCAAGAGGCCCAGCCTTACCTCCCACTGCCCAGAGGCAACCTTCTCCTTTCTCCTTTTTCCATCTCTGCCTGGACCTAAGAGTTAAACCAACATGGAATCATAGGAGAAAAGCACACACCTGTACATGGGAGCCTAACTGAAGAGTACAGGCAGAACAGGTGACCGGAGCAGGAAGCTGTCACACCATTCAAAGAGACAATGTGTGAAGAATTGGCAAGGCAAGGGAGTTTGGGCCATGGGTAAGAAAAAGTGAAGAAGTGACCGGGAAGATGTGGGTTAGTTTAACAAGGTTTATCCACATAGCCTTCTCAGCCCCAAATTCCCTGTCTCTGGTGGTGAGAGTGTCTTCCATCCTCTTGGTACAGGAAGGGCACCTTTCACATGGGAGATTTATCTCCTGCTTTCAGGAGAACAGAGGGGCTGGGGGCCTTCTTGCACTAGCTCTTTTGTAAGTACCTTTACTTCAAAATAATCAATATGCCAAAGTGGCATGATTGGGGGTGACATATTCTGACACCCCTCCCCATCTTCCCATGGATGCACCTTGCCGGCAGCCACTGCCTCTTCTACAGGGATACCTTTAAAGGCCACCTACCCACCTCACTCCCCAGGAGGTTTGGCTTTCTTTGTTTGATTTCATTTTTATCTGTTTTAAAAAGGCACTTAAGTAGCATATGCATTTACATTTTCCCCAACACCAAACCCCAAGCATTCGATTAACCACATGCTAGTTCATTGTAGACGCCATCCTCAAACAGTCCGTCTTCTCTCCCTGCTCTTTCCCATGCTGGTCCCTCCGATGACACTTCCTTCTCCGTTTCAGTATGGCTGCCCGTAAAATGAGAGATAAGGCTGTGTTTGATAATAGATACAAAATACATAATGACTAAAACATGATCTTTTTCTTTCTTGTTTCTAGTCAGATGGCAGCTCTTTGCCACTGACTCGGGACTCAGGCCTCTCCACCGCCTTCTGACTCCACCATCTTCCATAGGAGGGGCAGGGTTGTAGAAGGGGGCACATCCTCTATTTAAGGCCTTGGCCCAGCAAGAAACACCAGCTCCAGATAGGCCAGGACTCTGCCCTGGCCATCCCTCAATGCAAAGGAAACTTGGAAATGTGGCCCAGTCCTGAGCTAGAAAAAGAGGAAAAAAACAACAACAAAAAAAGAATTTGGAGGATCAATTGGCAGGTTCCCAGGACTACCCAGAGCACTTGTCTCTACTCACTCATTAACCGTTCAGACAGGACGCTCCAGGTCAGGATAAATGCCTGGATTTGAAAGTTATGGCCCAGCCAGGAAAAGCAAGAAAACAGCTTTAAATTGGGGGTGGGGGAAGGGGGGCAGGAGGAGGGTTGTATGTTTCCTCTTTGACATTTTAAAGTATGAAATATCACTGAAGACTGTTAAGAGTCAGCTGATCTGACAAGCCCTCTTCTTTGGGTTGGAAAGACTGAAGGACTTGGGGACACAGGGCTCAGGTGGCTCTGTACAGCAGGAGAGCTTACCACCCGAGTCAAGGCAAAACCATTCACCAGGTCCACCTGGGCCCTTGTGTCTTGCAAACAAAGTCTCCGCACTGTGGTGGGTTTGAGCCCCGAGTTCATCCCACATGAAGTCAGATTTATAGACTCCCAACCAGGGCAAAATTAGTAGCATGAGCTCAGGCACGACCACTCCGAGCCACACACATCCATCCCCGCCTCGTAGGGGCGCTGGCTTCTGCTTCCATCCAGATGCCCCACCCACCTCCTTGCCATCCTGACCTCAGCTGCTTCCCTTTGACTCCTGTCCTGGTCTCCTTGTTGGAAGAAGAAAAAGAACAAGCAGAGTTTCTCTTTTACAAATGAAGGCTATTGAGGGCAGTGATCTCAAAGTCAAGGTTATCAAACCCAACAGCAGGTTCTGCAGAACAAGTGTTGTCTCTTCCTTGTGCTGAAATATAAAAATAGATCTATGGAATTGATTTTTAAGGAAACTAACCAACCATGAACAAGGTTAATCTGTAAGTGAAGTTGGTACCACTCAGGTCCTCTTTGCAACTATTTTCTTATTCAGGTAAATGTTTTCTCAACAGACTGTGTTTCTCCTTTAACCCAGGGGAACACGTAGTTACCACAGAAAAAATGCATGGTACAGCCAAAGACTCAGAACAAAAGCCTAGGGAAAGAAACGGCTTATAAAACTTTTAGGAAGCTTTAAAATTATTGACTGAACAAGTACTTTCATACAGTGGCTAATGTGTTTACTAGCAGTATCATTTCCAAATTTCCCTTTGCACTCAGATTCTAGAAGAGTTTTCCTAATGCACTGTTAGCTAACAACTGTACCAATGCATGAGTCATGAAGGCCGTCAGAAAGGAAATAACCACGAGCCAAAACTGCAGATGTTCCATGTTGAGGCAGAAACCAAATAAAACGTGTAACACATAGAAAGAGAGAGAACATTTCCCCCACACCTTTTTTTTTAACCTTGGCGTTAAATCAACCATTAGAGTATAATGCGTGCATACTTACCAACAAAAACCAGAATTTTTATTTTCCGGCTCTGACATTCGAGACACAATTTAAAGAGCTCACTCAAAATTCTTGCCCTGTATAAGGAGAATACCAGCACAGGCACAATTTAAGACAAAGGAATACTTATCATATGTCTGTTCCATGCAAGCACATAGCACATACATGGTTTCATTCAACTTTATAAAAACCCTATAAATTGGGTATCACGATCACCATTTTGTAAATGTGGAAACTCAGGCTCAGTGAATTCGGATAGTTTATTAGTCTACTCAAGCTGCCGTAACAGAATGCCAAAGTGGGGGGTGGGGCTGGAGGTTTAAGATTAAGAAGCTGGCAGGATTCCTTTCTGGCCACCTTGCTTGGGTTGGAAGACCTCTCTTCCTGGTTTGCAGACGGCCACCTTCTAACCGTGTCTTTGCACAGCCTTCCCTGGTGCACACCCAGGTGCCTCTCCCTCTTCTTATAAGGACACCTGTTCTATCAGGGCTTCACGCTTAATGTTAGTTATTTCCTTAAAGGCCCTATCTCCAAATACAATCACATTGGGGGTTAAGTCTTCAACACAGATTGGGGCAGGGGGGAGCACAATTCAGCCCATAACAGATAGCATGTCCAAGAGCCCACAATTGCTAAGTGGTAGAACCAAGACTGTCTGAATTGAAACATTTCTTTATCCAGGGTGTGCTGCCTCTCCATGTAATGGCATCACAGATAGAATGGGAAGACATCCCATGTAGGGGCTGACTCTTAGAACTTGCTGGAGGGAGACAGTTTCACAGCAGTAAACTCTGTCCTGGTGGGAAGGGTGGGGAAGTATTCACACGAGCTAGATTATAAGGCACAAGGGTCCAAGTCAACTAAAGACCTGTCCAGAGATGCCAAATAAAAATGGCTTCAACCATTCTGTTAAAAGCTACACAAATGCTATTTGGTTTCACTACCATACACCATACACAGTGTGGTTTCCATGATCCCAAAAGAACCAGCATTTCATTCCATTTTTCTTTTCTTTCCTCCAAACCACCAGCTAACGTCCTGGAAGGCGACTCCATGGATCAAGATGTTGAGAGCCCTGTGGCCATTCACCAGCCAAAGTTGCCTAAGCAGGCCAGGGACGACCTGCCAAGACACATAAGCCGAGACCGGACCAAAAGGAAAATCCAGAGGTACGTGCGGAAAGATGGAAAATGCAACGTCCATCATGGCAATGTGCGGGAGACCTACCGCTACCTGACAGATATCTTCACCACCTTAGTAGATCTCAAGTGGAGATTCAACCTATTGATTTTTGTCATGGTTTACACAGTGACATGGCTCTTTTTTGGGATGATCTGGTGGCTAATCGCATACATCCGAGGAGATATGGACCACATAGAGGACCCTTCATGGACTCCCTGTGTCACCAACCTTAATGGGTTTGTCTCTGCTTTTTTATTCTCAATAGAGACAGAAACCACCATCGGTTATGGCTACCGGGTCATCACGGACAAGTGCCCAGAGGGAATTATTCTCCTCTTAATCCAATCTGTGCTGGGGTCCATTGTCAATGCATTCATGGTGGGATGCATGTTTGTAAAAATATCACAACCCAAGAAGAGGGCAGAGACCCTGGTTTTTTCCACCCATGCGGTGATCTCCATGAGGGATGGGAAACTGTGCCTGATGTTCCGAGTAGGGGATCTCAGGAATTCCCACATCGTTGAGGCTTCCATCCGAGCCAAGTTGATCAAGTCCAAACAGACCTCAGAGGGTGAGTTCATCCCCTTGAACCAAACAGATATCAATGTAGGGTATTACACCGGGGATGACCGCCTGTTTCTGGTATCACCACTCATCATCAGCCACGAAATTAACCAACAGAGTCCTTTCTGGGAGATCTCCAAAGCCCAGCTGCCCAAAGAGGAACTGGAAATTGTGGTCATCCTAGAAGGAATGGTGGAAGCTACAGGTAAGGTGTAATCCATCCTGGGTTATCTGTGGGATCAATGCTCATTTTAAGCTGGACCTGACATACTTATTTATGATAAAATATGAAAATTGAGTTTCATTCACTATTGACTCCACCCCCTTGTTTCATGAAATAATATGCCTATGTGTACTGTAACCTTGGTGTACCCTCCAAGAAGCCTAACTATTTAACTTTTTAAAAGCTTTTGGAAAATAAACCAATAAACAATTTTTCGAAAGCACCACTTACTATATTTTAAATTTCCAAATATTTCCTTAAATTAAAATCTTATCTGTCTCCAAAGCACTCTTTAAGTGGCTCTAAAACATTGGTTAATTTAAATACTTGAGGTTATTTACTGGCAAGCCAGGAGAAAAAGTTAAGCCTTTCGAAGGAAGCCTGACAAATTGCTTTAATAAAAATGCAATTTCACCCCTTCTTTGGAAGCCATTTGCAAGACCTGTAGCACTGACTCTTCTTTTATATCAAGTGCAGGCAAGGTGTCTTTCCACATACTCTACCTGCTGAACCCCCAGCTGACATAACATTGTAGACCCAGTAAATAATTCGAGCAGGAAAGGAAAAATTTGAAGAACCATTCATCACAATCCTATTGACCCTTCCTCTGTTAATGGCTGATCATTGGTGTGTTCTCGGGAAAATGATCTGTCCTCAAAATAGAGAAATGGTCTGTTTTTATTGATGTCTTCACTCGTATCTGAACTTTATGCATGTTATACATCCCAGCAGCAAAGCAGTTTCTGCCCATATTCATCGGTAACATTCCACAAAATAGATCCCTACATTCTGACTTAAGCTAAGAACAGTGCCCCACAAGGAAAGTATAAACTGGAACCCGAATTCATTATTTTCTTTCCTGTTCTTTGGAGTTATCAATATTAGACTTAAAATCCTCTTTAGATAAGCAAGCTGCCCTTCTGTACTTCAAAGTCTGCAACCTGAGGCTCAGGGTTCATCTATATAATCTGAAAATGCACGGCCAACAGCCCGGCCCCACATTCTTCTTCAACCCATAACCTGATCTTGGTCAACCCTTGAAAGTCGTTGGTCCCCTGTTTCCATTTCCCAGTACCCAACAGGCAAAGTCATAACCTCTAACTAACTTCTCTTAGAGTGGTGGAAACTTTTGTGCTAGGTTTTTTTAAATGCAACAATGAAAATGTGAGTAAAAGTCTTTGTATGGAGCTCAGTGATTGGCATGTGCTTCTTTCCATAAAACAAAAGGAACATGGACCTAATTTGAAACAGCTTAAAGAATAACAAAATAATTCATGTGGAATACTAAGAGCTGCTCATGTGAACGGGGCTATCTGTGCCTTGAGCCTGACTTTCCCATGTACCCCTGAGGCAATGATTGTGTGTGGGGAGGAGGAAGAAGAGAGAGGAGAAGGAAGGGGAGGAGAGAGGGGAGGAGAGAGGGGAGGATCCAATCCAAACGGGGAGCTCTGTCATTTTCTCGCAGACCAGAAACTTCTCCCACCTCAGCTGAGCACAGGGACTCTGGATCCCCCTACTGGTGGCCACTGTGGTACAGCCATCGGCAGCATCAACTGACCATTCAAGATGCGGTTTTAATATTAGATTTCTCGCTATTAATGATGTACTATATGTTGGCTAATTGAATTTAAATTAAAAAAAAAGGATTACTCACTATAAATTCTCCCAGTAGGGCATGGGGGGGGGGGGTGGACAAGCCTTGTTATCATTGTATTTCTGAGTTCAAGAAGTAAAAGCCACTGGAGATGTACCCTCTGGTTATTGGTGTTAATCTGAGCTTCAAATTGCAGGAGCTGAGCTTTGTGTTCCCTCAAACCAAAACCCAATCTCAAAAAACAAATGAATCCAGAATAAGCAAATTTTCTTTGTAATGTCCCTGAGTTGGAATTCTCCCTGGGGCAGACCCTGTCTTTATGATGACAGCTTGTTATGAGTGAGACTTTCTAAAGGGAAGAACATTGTTTTCTCGGTAATTAACAGTGATACTTGCCTCTGAGCATTCAGCAGTCTTTCTTACTGCTTTCTTAGAGAAAAGTTGGTAGTTGCCAGCAAAAAAGAATCAAAACACTGTTCCTGGGAAAGTCAACTACTGTTAATTTTCTTTAAAAAAAAATAGTTTTCTAATTTCTTTTAAGTGGAGGGAAGAGTGTTCTAGAAAGTTCTGGGTTTGTCTGGAAGCTGGATATGTCTTGATCTTTTCCTGATGAGATTCATACAGTTCAGTACTTCCATAACATCTGATCTCTTCAACTTCAGCGGGATGCTTTTTCTTTGTGAATGAAAAGCACAAATGGGATTTACGGATACTAAACAGGCCCTTGAGGGATGATGGAGGGAATGCTCCAGGGAGTCAAAGCCACAGGAAAAAAATAAATGTGGACCGAATGCACACCAAGGAAAACAAATTCATAAGGATCTAATTATTCATTGTAGGGCTAGATGGGAAATCAGAAGCCTTGAAAACAGCAAGCTGACACAAAACAATTTCCGTTTTATTTATTCCTTTCCGAAATGTCTTAGTTAACCTTAAACCACTATCACTGATCCCAATTAGCAGTCCTCTTCCAAGGATGAGCCCCACACCGCAAACTCACCACAATGCTCTCTTCCTGTCATGCATGTTGTGGTTATACAGTGATCCCAATATGGTGCTTTCTGGAAATCTGAGCTATCCTGCAGTGAGCTGAGTATCCACCGGGGTCCTTCAGTCTGCTGAGCGCCCTGGCCTAACATAGGTCAGTTGGTGTTCCGTTGACACATTATATTCTCAGGATAGCTGTACGACAGCAAGCCCGCTTTGTCACATCACTTAGAGTCAGGCAAGTTTTTAGCAAATGAAAGTAAGCTCCTTGAAGGCAGGACATGAGTCTTGCCCAACTTTAATGCCCTACACATTCTGGCCCCAGTCCTCTAGCCTCAAAAAAGACCGACTCACAAAAGACCCACAAAAGACCTACAAAAGATAGAGCCACATCCTTGGTGGATGGCTTCAGTCTGGTCCAGCCCAGAGTCAGAGGGATGTACACGATGACCTCTCAAGAACCTTCCAGTCATGTGATTCTATTTTTGAAAACGAATCAAACCCTGGAAAATTCTGACACCAGCCACCCAGACATCTGGGAACTGGCCGCGTCTCATCCTGCAAATATATTTTTAAAGGGGGCCCTTTATGTTCCTGACACATGGGCAATTTTGAGATAGTGATGTTTACAGAAGGGTTCACAGCTACGTAAACAAACATGCTCAGCAGCTGTGGCAAATGTGCTTTAAAATAGTAAAGCATTCATATAGACTGTTATTTATAGAGGGCAAATTGGCCTGGAGGCTAGATGACAGCTACACAGAGCTGGGCCCGTTGCCAGCCAGCTCCTCACTATAGCCTTTCTGATTGATGAACTTCCATATTTACCCCCAACGATTATGCAACTATGACAAGCAGCCCTTTCCAACACCTCAGCAAATGTGCCTCGTTAGTTAGGATGAATCCCCATTAAGCTTTTTTTTTTTTTACACTTTTTATTATGGAAATCATAAAACTTATACAAGAGTAGACCAAATAGTATAATTAACTCCCATGTACCCATCATTCAATTTCTAGAATTCTCAATTCACAATCAAACTTGTTCCATCTATACTACCACTCACTAACTACCCCTGGCATCGGATCATTTGATCTACACATCTTTCCGTGTGTGTTTCTAAAAGACAAGGCTTCTAAAGCATAATCAATTGCTTTCCAAATCTGCTTGTTTGAATCGGGATCCAGAGGAGGCTAACACGCTGTGACTGACTGGGATCTCGTTCAAGCCTCTTAATCTCTGAGCTCCACCTCCATCTCTGGGTTTGTTTTTTTTTCTTCAACTTTTTCTCAAGAGAACTTCCGGAAAATTTAAATACTGCACAGAAAACTGGGGAAATTGGAGGATGGGAAGAAGCCAAGTCAATGCAGATATACTAACACTACAGATGAGGAAACAGGGCTGACAGCCCAGCAGCCTGCGTCTATCGGTTACCGAGGAGAGGAGTGTGCATCAGAAGCCCAGGAAGGCAAAGCGGAGGTAGGCGCCAGCAAACCGGAAGTCGGAAATGGGAAGTGGGGGAGGGCGAATCGGAAGGAGTTTCCATCCTTCGCCACAGGAAAATTCAGCTCTGTCTCTAGAGAAACGTGCATGTGAAGAGGGTTTTGTCACAAAAAAATCACACCACAGATCACAGGAGTTCTGAGTTGCAAGGAATCTTCACCCAGCTCTTTACAGATGAGAAAATGGAGACCCAAGCAGGATGAGTTGCTAGCAAGACTAGACTAGTACTTGGCTAAAGTCAAATGGCTGCTGGGAGAGTAGGAACTTGAAACCCAAGATCGCTGACGTTTACAGCCTCCAAGTCCAGTGCTCTTTGCATGGGGAAAGCTGTTGGTTCATGAAAATTCAATAGAGAAGTGCACCCAAAGAAAATGTCTGTTTAGTGTGCAAACAAGCTGTTTTCCCTTTTCCTCTACTATTAGTTCTTATTTTTCTTTAAGGTGTCTCTGTTGGTCTCCAATGTTACCGGTTCATTTTTAAAACTCTTTATGCATTCACATGAATTTTTAACAGCCGTATATTAAAATGAAATGTGCCACAAAACGGTTCTGCAATCCAAACCAAGTAAGCAATGTCTACACAAATACCCCTGGAAGAGTATGAGGTTCTGTCAGATCTGATTTCCAAGTACCATTTTTCTTTCCTGTGATCAAAATGCCATTTCACTATAATAGAGGAGAATATGAGATCACAGATTTTGAAAAGGTGGCATTTTGCAGATAAGATGGTTGAGTGTTAGCATTACAGTACTCTTAAGCTATTTCTAGTAATGATATTTCATACCCATTACATTTTTCAAATCTTATTTTCTCCTTTTGATAAGTTACAGCTAATCTCTCCATTGACAAGTCATTATCTCAGGATTTACCGTCTTTGTCTTAAGAGTTATAACCCCAACTA